CTTCTTCAGACAATACATCCTAGACTGTACATTTTGCACAGATGGAACAAAATAGATAGGCATCTTGTTGGCAGGTGGCAGGTAAGTTCCAGGTGGTGAGAGGACTCTAATAATATCCTAGAGAAAAGATTATGAAGCACTCTACTGACAGAATTTCAGATATATTTTAGTTGGGGAAGATAAGGTATATAAATAGACTGAGAATTGACCAGGGACTCGTCTAAGCTGGGAAACCTTATCTGAGAGCTATCAAAAAGGATGAGTTGAGAAAAGGTAATAATTGTTTGGATGGGGTCAGGGTGAATGAGAAGAAGGAGGAAGAATGTCTCCAGAATTCCATTTGACTAAGGCTGATGACGGTGCTGCAAGAGAAGCTGACTGAAAACTGGGGAACAAAGACGAGTTCTGAGTAAAATTTCAAGAGGAAGAAAAGTAAGCATGAAAGCTTTCCACTGATTTAAGAGGTCCCTGGTTGCAATCAATTAACACAAGTTTAGCCAATGTCAGTGAAGCACTAGTGAGCTACACAAAAACATTTTAAGTGGAATTATGAGTGTAGATGCCAGATGGTGGAGACATGGTGAGTTGATAGCATGTGAGGAAGTACAGTAGCTCCCAAGAAACTTGGATGCTATAGGCAACCTCTGGACATGAGAAAACAAGATAAGAATATACAGTAAAAGAAATCGACAAGCAGCACTAAATACAATGCGATATTCTAGACTGAATCTCGGAACACAAAAAGGACATTAGTAGAAAAACTGGTGCTATCCAAATAAAGTCTATAGTTTAGTGAATAGCAACATACCAATGTTAATTTCTTAGTTCTGGCAAATGTCCCATGGTCCTATAAGATGTTAATGTTAGGAGAAACTGAGTGATGAGTATTGAGGACTGTGTCTGTACCATATTTGCAACTTTTCTGTAATTCTAAAAGCTTTCCAAAATAAAAAATTTACTTTGCCGGACGCAGTGGCTCACAGCTGTAATCCCAGCACTTTCGGAAGTGGAGGTGAGAGGATTGCCTGAGCCCAGGGGTTTGAGACCAGCCTGGGCAACTTGGCGAGACCTCGTCTCCACAATAAATAAATGGTTGCACACATCTGTAGTTCCAGCTACTTGGAAGGCTGAAGTGGAAGTACCGCCTGAGCCCAGGAGGTCAAGGCTACAGTGGCCATGAGTGTGCCACAGCACTCCAACCTGGGTGACAGAGTAAGACTGCGACTCGAAAAAAAAAAATTTTTTTTAACTTAAAAAAAGAAGAATCTAAGAACCAATATGACAACAATACTCTCTATTCCACAAATTAAAGTTTTTATTTCAGTAATTTCAGTAACATTTGTCTGACTGTAACATGGTTACATACGAATGGCAAAAAAGCTTGGAAACTATAGAAAATATACTTTCCATCTCACAACTTAGAGATAACAGTTGTTAAAATCTTTTTTTAACCTATAAATACTTTTTTTTAGCCATCATTCAAACCAATTCCTGGGGGTGGAGGGGTTCCACTTAATATTTTACAATAAGCTTTTCCTTTCATATAATTTAAATTTCTTCAAAAGCATTTAACTAACTATATAATTGTGAAGAATGTTTTACTATTTAGATTATGTCCAACTTCTCATTATTTATAAATAGTGTCACAGTGACTATCATATGCATAGTAGACTGTACATGCTAATTTCATTAGGAGAAATTTCAAAACGTGGAGTTGAAGAAAATGTTTATTTAACACCTTTGATAAATATTATCCTCTAAATGATAGAACCAGATTCTACTCCTAGTAGCAAAGTACCAAGAGCCAGTCTTTCCCACCCCACCAGCAAGGGGTATCAGCAGTTTTACTAAACTGAAGAACTAAATACAAACATTTAAAAGTAGTGATGGCACTTTGTAACTTAATGAATGAAGAACTAAATCGTTCTTCATTCATTAAGTTAGAAAGTGCCATCACTACTTTTAAATTTGTGTTTTTAGTTCTTCATTCATTAAGTTACAAAGTGCCATCACTACTTTTAAATTTGTATTTTTTTGCATTCTAGTCAGAGTGAATATTTTTAATATATTAATTTTTAGTTATTTTGACTTATTTGCTGAATTGCCTTTTCATGTTCTTTACCTGCTTTTGGACTGAGTTTTTAGTGTATCTGCTTATTGTGTATCTGCTTATCTAATTCCTTTATCTAGTCTGGATCTTTTTTGTTCACTACCGTTATGAAGTATACTTTCCAACTTGTTATTTTCTTTTTAATCGTATCATGATGTTCTTTAATGTACAGAGTTTAATTTGGATATACATATATATATATAATTTTCCTTTACAATTTCTAATGTTGCTTTTATGTTCATAAAATCCTCACGCATTCCAACCAAATAAATATTAGTATTCATTGTATTCATTTTTAAAAAGCACTTATCAATTTAGGAGAAGCCAGATCACTTATTCAGCTGAAGAAATCTGCTGTTTTTATTTTTATTTTTTTAATTTTTAAAGATGTAGGATACAAGTCGGGATTGGGTACATAATTGGTCGATGGACAGATGAGGTCACCTCACCTGGATGTTTTTATTTTAGAGACTTCAAATATAAAGGCATATAGGTCTGGGATTACACAGTGACTGACTTTAATCATAAATAATCATTAGGAAATAATACTTACTGAGATAAGCTTTCTCTTAGAGGTATCTAAGACAGTTGATACATTTTTGGAATTACTAGGATTAATTTATTTCAGAGAGTTTCCAAAAGAACCAAAAAATTAATCTCAGGGCATGACTATGTCAGGGAAAATCCAGTTAGGCCAGTCCCCAAGGAGGTTGTAGTAGACATCATTAATACTTTAATTACTAGCTGTTATTTTTCCCATCCCATTTCTAAGCAAGATTCCAGTTTTCTCTACTTTTGCATTAATATCAACAAAGAAAAGAGAATATTAATGTAAAAGAACATAGAGGTAAGATAAAAAGAGCACAGGCTTTAGAACTTGCTGTATGTGGGTTCAAATCCCACTAAATAGTTATTCACCTCAAATAAGTCAAATGACTTTTCATAGCTTCCATTTGTAACACTGGCTTCAATGTTAGTGGCACAGATTGGTCATTCAATAAATTATTTTTTAATGATTTCCAAAGAAACACATGCTTGATGTAAAGTCACTACTAAAAACTGATTATTTTTCAAAACAATTTTCTGTTCACATGTAAATATATGTGCACATACACAATTTTGTAGAGGTTTTGTTATTATTTTTAAGATATGAGGTGACTAAATCTCTTTTGTAAGCAGTCTCAAGAAAAGAATAAACTATTTCTACAAACTATAAGAGAAAAATCCCCATTGTTATGCTAAGACAATAGGCAACTTGAGAAATTATTTCCTTCATCTCACAGAAAGTGGTAAAAATATAAACTACCTCAGAGTCCTCAAATAATCCAATTTGCATTATTACAACTAGCAGTTTGTAGCATCTACATACACAAACCAAATCTCATCCCTTTTCTAAACAATTATTAGTCTATAGCTGGCGAAAACAGGAATAATAGAAATATCATATTTGAAGAAAAATAAGACACAGTGTAAAACTTTTGAGAATGCATCATTAAACTATAAAACAAGTCCAGCAAAGAAAGAACACTGCAAAAAGTTGCTTTCTACTAAAACTGAAAAGCTATTTAAGATAAACATATACCTGGCAATAATAAAACTGTAAATACAGAAGTAGCAAAGAATCTTAGCTTGAGGGACTGAACATTTTAAAATTGTTGACCTAAGTCTGCTTTTCTTTTTCTAGAGTACATGTTTCAACCACAGACTAAGAGAACCTCAAACAATTTACATTAGTGTGAAAATATAGCTGCAGGGGAGAAACAACAACATCATAAATCACAACTTCTCTCTGAGAAGAAAAACCTGCTTTAAAAAAAACCCTGCTGTTAGGGCCAGGTACAGTTCAAATTTATTTCTAAAATCCATGTTACACAACTGAAGTATATTTCGATGGAGCTGAACATCAAGTTACATAATTATCAAACTACTGCATTGCATTTTAATTTTTCAGCGAAGAACATGATAGGTCTGGAGAGGCAGCAAGAGAAGAAATTTAAAGCAGCACATTTTGCTTAGAACAAAAAACATTTACCCTTAAAATCATTTAGGTGGAGAATCACAAATTCTCAATAGTATGTCCAAGACTAAGACTAAAATAGTCTTTTTTAAAAATCTCAATTCTTATTTGTCTTTTTTTCAAGGTATTTTTAGTTGTTTCTATTACTTAGAAATAAATAAACAACTTTCTTTAAAAGCATATTCAAAAAATATTTAAGGTACTTTAAAAGTTAGAGGTGCATTATTAAATGTACGTGCTTCCTTCCATTGAGAATAGTATACATATTGGACACTCCACCACATTTTACAGAAAAATTAACTGCTGTCTGCTTGTATAGTCATAAACACCCAATATGTGGATTATGTATCCCAAGGAAACAGCATCTTAATTTGCTGGTTTCAATTTAAAGCATCAGATAGTTGAATACTGAAAGGTTATTATGTAAAATCTATTGATTGACTAGTAACCATAATGAAGAATAGTCATTTTAGTGCAAATGTACAATCTCCTCTAAAACATGGCTTTAATGGGAGAGCATGAATACAATCATTGGAAGATCAAACCAATCTGGAAAAAGATTAAACAAAGAATTACTGAAACACTAAGCAGCCTTTCTTTATTGTTCACAAAGTTTACAAATAAGTTGTTTTACTAAAGCTTTTTAAAAAGGCAAATGAGATAATAAGAGCTTTGGACTTTTTTGATATTTGAAAATCTTAGATAACACTGTTAAAGTCTACAGACGAGTATGTAACACACCATTAATAAATGGTAGATACTATAATTGTATACATAAATTGATAAATCTAAAACAACTAAGGCAATCTAATAAAAAATTCACTTATAAGTTTTTCACTGTGAACTAAAACTATTGAGAATGACAATCATTACCAGGACTTAAAGGGGTCATACAATCCCTGGGCTTCTTTTCTTCTTCGGCTTGCTCCTAAAATAAAAAAAATAAAAAAAAATAAAAAACAAGGTTTAGGCCATATTTCTGGATAATTGTTTGAAACACTGAAAACTAATGTTTCTATTTGCAAGAAGCAAAGCCATGAAGATCCCTGTCACTGAGGGGGACAATACCCAGCACTTTCAGGTGGGTACCCAGTAGGAGCTCACTTGATCCATTTGGACGTGGGAAAAATCCTTTATTGCTGTCTTGTTTTTTGGCTAAAAAGCAGGAGAGCGTCATCTTCAATACCAGTTAATATTGAGGTTGACAAAGGTGCCTACCCTAACTGGATCCCTGGGCCTGACAGTCCCACAGGAGTGGCTGACAGAAGTGGCTCCTTCCACACCAAAAAAACAAGCACTCCAACTTCTTTTTGCTTTCAGCCTACTGGGGTCTACTACAGTTTATAAGTGCTCAGTTAAGATGACTTTATCTACTTTTAACCTAACTAGCCTTCATACAATGGACAAGTGACTTAAAAGATAACTACAAAGAAAATTATAGATTGAATATGATGAACAATACAAGCACAAGCAATAAACAAGATAGCACGGTCTCTCCATGGTGCAGCTAATGCAACTCTTGAAGTGAAATTTACCGTCAACAAAGGCTAAGAAAGTGACTTCCTTTTTTGAAAGATACAATAGAAAAGAGCATTTTGAAAATGGGTATCCAGATATGTGTTTTATTTACATAATTTGTGGCCATAAACAATGTATGCCATCTATTAAAAATTCATAATAATTGTGCACTTAAAAATTGGGAACAGAATTTCCCAATTGTAAAATCTTCCAAATGAATGGTTTCAAATGAGCTTTGAACTTACTTTTGGAAATATAAATATGCAGGACTCTTGAGTAGTTTCTAAGAACAACTAATTGTCACCAGAGAATATAAACATTTAGCAGCTGAATTACACAATATCCTTTCCATAACTGCATCACGATTTAGTAAGGTTGGCCAATTCGGATTTTTTCAATTTATTCCTAAACAGTTTTGAGATATATCTTTTTCTGTTATGACAAGTATACCTGACAATCCCAGTCTGCGCAGGACTGACCTAGCCATAGAACTGAAAGCCCCACATCTGGGTAACTCCTCAGTCCTAGGCAATTGAAGATGCTTGGTCAAACTAGCTATGACAACAAATAAAAGAAAGTCTTTTTTAAAAAATGCAGATAATAATATAAAAAATCTCTAAACCAGCTATTTCTTTTAAGTCATGCTTAACTAATATTAACTAATATTTTAGTTAGAGCTAACTAGTTTCTAACTGTTAAAATATTATTAATTTCACTTTTATGGGTTTTTATTTATTTTCTGTTTTAGTTTATGACTTTAAGGTATAAAGCACAATGTATGTAGTAATAAATCCGCTTGTATGCAATTAAAGTTTCTCTATTGATGACACAACCAAGCAAATGAGTTTGATGATGACTGCAGCGGGTTGTCAATCTTCTATATGGTCATATATAACTGACAGTGACAGAGGTCTTGAGATGCCTTAGCTTGAGATCCATATATATGGATAAATAAATAAATGTATTTATTTTATTAATATATTTTGTTTTTTAATTCATATGATTCAAGATATATACTGTACCTAGAGAGATAGAAGAACAGTGAAATTCATACAGATAATACAGTGAAGCCTTTTCTACCTGTGCTAGACAATCACGCCAATCCACAACATCCCTACCCAATAATCACTGTGTGACTTGTGACTTTCTAATATATCCTTTTAAAGTTTCCTCTATAAATAGACAAAAAAACTGTCTATTGTTAAATTTATCTTTGCACACCAAGGGTAGCACATCAAAATACTGTTTTCTATCTCTCTTTTCACTTAACAAAATTCCTCAGAGGTCTTTCTCTATGAGGTAACAGAGAATATTCTTGCTCTTTCTTCATAGCTGCACAGTTTTATATCAGATGAACAAAGAAGTCTATTCTTTATATCCTTGGTTCATTTCACTGCTGCAATGATTACTCATATTTTGATCTTGATAAATTAGGAAGATTCGTCTTTGTCTACAAAGAGATATGCATTATTTATTTATTTATTCTCAGTTTGTCCTTTCTCTTTTCACTTTGCTATGGTATTTTTTTAATATGCAGAGTTTCTGTTATTTGTTTGTTTGGGTGTTTTAAGAAATTATCAAGCTTTTCTTTCATGGCTTCTAGATTTGAGTAATAGCTAAAAAAAGCCTTCTCCAATCCCAGATTATAAAAACTTCCTTGTTTCTGCCATTACACTTACATTCATTTATTAGGTTTAAACACGTGATGAATCTGAAATCTGTACCAGGACATGGTGTGAGTCGGCCACAGTGTTTCTGCCCCAGTGGCTACTGACTTCTCTGTCCCACACCTCTTACTGAACAGTCCTCTTTCTCAACACCAAAGATATGCGTGTTATATGATAATCTCCCAAGGGTATCCGATCTTACTTCTGGCTTTCTACTCTGTTTCTCTAGTCTATGTGTCCATCCATCTGCTATACCACACTGTTTTAACTGTGGTAGCCATGTTTTAATAAGCTTCCTGGTTATTTAATATTTTATACACAATAAAAATCCTGTTTCTTGCAAGTTGTAGAGTCAGCTGAAGTTTCAACTCCCAGGGCCACCCCTTACTAGCTGTGACACTGGGCAAGTGATTTAATCTCCATGAGCCTCAGTTTCCTAATCTGTGACTTTGAGATAATCATAACTTCTTGGCAGGATTGTGTTAAGGATGGGAGACCTACAAGTAAAGTCCTCATTACAGCATATGACACAGGGCAAGTTTTAAGCAATGGCAGCTATCACAGTTATTTTGCCAGATTTCAAACTGCTAAAAATTTTCTGGGAAGATAGTGGAATAGCCAGTCAGACTGCATGAGTCCCTGTGTATGTGAGTAATAGTATGGACGATTCTGCATGTGTCTCTGTGTGTAAGTGGGAGTGTGAGAGGCTGGCTGAGTGGGGACTCGAGCGCAAGTGGCCAGGGCCCTTCTGGTGAAGCTGCTGGTGCCACAGCTGCTCTGCTTGAATCCTAGCAATTCCCAGAGTGCAGAAGTTGAGTGCCATCTTCTAAAATCAGCAGAACTTTTCCTGGGAAGAACTGCTGAAGTGATTGCCAACCCCAACACCACAGTGCTGGGCTAAATGCCGAGGGCCATGGAAGTAGTGCAGTGAGGGAGCTTGAGGCTGAAACCTGAGGAAACAACAGGGAGAAGCCACTCCAAGCCTGGATTGGACTCCAGAGCCTTGCCACCGGATCCTGAGATCCAAAGACTATGGTAACTGCTGTGGAGGGAGCTATTGACCCCATTTATGGAAGGAACAACAGCTGGCAGAGAAACCAAGCAGACTCTCTAATGCCTGAGCAGAGAAGTGTTCTAGGGCACCTTTGCAGAACAGCAGACCTGCATTTTGAGACAAGGCACTGATCTCTGAGTTGCACTGAGGCTGTTCTTCGCAACCTCAGAGAACATTGCCACTGGTGTATAAGCCCTGTGGGTAACAGCAGATGTGGAACCCCAGACAATCCACCCTCCACTCTGGTTGGTTTTCTCTTTTCTTTCCTCCTTCTATTTCTCTTTCTTCTTTCTTTCTTTCTTTCTTTCTTTCTTCTTCTTCTTTTTTTTTTCCTTTCTTCTTTTTCTTTATTTCTCCTTCTTTTCCTTTCTCACCTCTTTTCTCTCTTATATGTTGTCTTGGACTCAGTAACTATGCAAGCGTACCCACTGTAAGGTCATATTGTGCAGAAAGGAAAAGCAAGTCCCAGCTGGCCCATTCACCAGATAGCAAACTTTATGACCTGCCAATAGGTTCTGTATCCCGGCAGCCCCTCCCCCACCCCCAAATAAGTGCTCAAAACTGTAAAGAGCACAACTCCCCCCAGACCTAAATCATCATTAAACAAACCCAGAGGCCCAGCTCAAGGAAGGACAAAAGTACAGTAAATATCAGAAGTGACTGCTTCTGCATTCTCCACTAAGCAACAGGTTTAAAGAAAAGGTAAGACAACCGCTACAAATGAAAAAAAAATGACAAAAAACTGCTAGTAACCATCAGAGCCAGAGCAAAGAGTCAGTGCTGGAAACAACATTTACTAGAGGACAAACAATGGCTATCTCCAAGAAGGTACTTACAGAGATCAGAGAATTGTTGAATAGAATGAATAAAAATCAAAAAATGCAAGGGCTAAAACTAAATGAAATTGCAATGGAGCAAGACAGACTAAAGAAAGTGTACTTAAAATAACAGAAATAAGTAACTCCATTCAAGAAATAAATAACAAACTGGCAAGCATGGGAAGCAGAATGACCAAGCAGAACAAAGAATCTCAGAACTGGAAGATGAAAATATGGAATTAACCCAATCTGTTAAAAGCACAGAAAAAAAAACTTAAGAAGAAACTCTCCAAGACATGTGTGATTTTATCAAGAAGTCAAACCAATGTTTGTTTAGAACACCTGAAATAGAAAGAGAAACAAAAAACACCCTGGAACAAAATTCCATGAGATCTTTCAAGAAAACTGCCCTCATCTGACCAGAGAGATAATTATACAAGCACAAGAGATTCAGAGAACCCCTGAAAGATGTCTCATGAGAAGACCAAACCCTAGATACACAATAGTTCACCTACACAAAGTAGGTATAAAAGAAAAAATCCTAAAGGCAGCAAGGAAAAAAGGTCAGACAACCTACCAGAGGAGAAACACTACAGACCAAAAGGAATTGGACCCCAATCTTGAATGTTCTCAAAGATAAACAATTTCAACCATGAATTTCCTAACCAGCCAAACTAAGTTTCATCAGCAATGGAGAATGAAAATCTTTCCCAGACAGTCAATCCCTAACAGAATATGCTGCTTCCAGACCAGCTCTACAAGAGATGCTTTAAAAGGTGCTGTGCACAGAAGAAAAAAGAAACAAAGGAAAGATCATGTGCTTCACAAGATCACAAACACAGAAGCAGTAGAACACACAGCATACTCACAA